GTATTGCAATATTTTTGACACTTTTTATTTCCTAAAGCTGATTACAGTCAGTTCAACTGTATCCTATGATTGGCCGATTACGTGACTGAAAATCTTTGGTTGGTCGCAAACTACATATATATATATATAGCCTAATCAGTCATATTATAATTCTTTGTCTGACTCATAAATTTGCTGAAACTACTTCAATCAAAATGAAATTTCTTTTTGTACATTGTTCAAAAATTTGTAGAAATTTTTATACAGTACTTTGTAATAAACAGTCAGTAATCGAAAATCATTAATGATATACCTATAGAGAATTTTTTCAAATAACGTATCATATTATCATTTGCCAATTTTGATTTTTATGAAAATTTTTATTCTATTTCTAATATTCATTCAATTTAAAAAGAACGATGAAAATGATTTTAAAAAATTGAAAAAATGACATACTTTTTAACAAATCAGTTACAATTAAATTATTAACTTTTTAAAATTCAATATTTAAAAAAATTAATTTTTTAAATCTCCAGTGTCATATACATACATATATAAGGTTGTGTGATAATTTCCGCAGGTTTTTCGAAAAATAATTAATAGATTTTGAGCTAAAATTTTTTGGAGAACTCAAAAATAGTACAAGGAATCATATTATTAAGTGCCAGAATATTAAAATTTTGTTAAAATATTTTGTTTTAAAAAATTATGTATATGAGGAAAATTCAATATTTTACACTGCAAAAAGAAGTATCTTATTTTAAAATGTTTTGGTATATCGTTTTTAAGACATTAAGACGTTTAAGATGTCTTGATGACTTGAAAATGCTACCAAAACATCTTAAAATAAGATATATACTTCTTTTTATACAGTGATAGTCATTTCGCCAAATATGCAATTTTTTAATAATTTTTTTTTAAGGAAAAATGAATATACTTTGGCACATATAACAATGAAAATATCATGTTTGAATATTATGTAATATATTTACATGTAAAATCACAACAGTTATATAACCTTAATGAAATAAACAAAAAAAAAACTTATTATTGTTTATTACTAATAATTTATTTTTTAAAAAATATGAACAGTTAAAAAAACGAGCAATCAATAAAAAAAGTATTAAATATTATCTTATAATTTTTAATTTACCACATAGGATGAATTATTGTATAGGAAAGTCACTCTATGTAATAACACAATGGATATTAGTGTAATATAACATATAGAAACGTCTTCCGAATCCCTCATGTGTAGTTCAATTGGTTCAAAGCACCCCACTGGCAATGGGAAGATATATATTATATATCATGAGAGTATACGGAAGAAACGCAAGAGTTGAATTTCTGTAGTAAATACTTATTCTAATTTTTTACGAATTTAACGAATTACAATACTAAAAATTATTGTTCAATTTAAACATAAAATATTTTTGCTTTATATATAAAATGAACTGAAGATTATGTCAGATTTTGCTTATCTCTTATCGTTTTTGAGATATTCACAAATTTTATTTTTCAAATTTCGACCCCATATGGAATCCTATATGGACACTCAATTTTAAAAATTCTTTATCAAATATTTTTGATTCTTAAATTTTTTTTTTACCTTAAGAATTTTTGAAGTTAATTTAAATTTACAACCATATTGACAATTGACAACCATTCTTTATCATATTTCAAATTTCCTCCACAAAATTTCAGCTTAAACACTGAAAAAAAACTAGTAGATTGAACTACTTTTTATAACTACTCTGCCTAGCACAATAGGTCCTCAATTGAATTTAAAAAATTGTATTAACTATAAAAAAGTAATTAAAATAACTAAGAATGTAGTTGGAAGAACGAGGTTTTGTAGTTGTTTCAGTTTTAGTAGTTGATTCAACTACATTTTTTTTAGCAAACTGAACTGCTAATTATTAACTCCATAAAAAGTAGTTCCATTAATTACCTACACACACAAAATTAAACTAACTAGAAAAGTATAGTTACTTTAACTACTTTCCAGCCAACTAACCAACAGTAGTTGAAGATCTCAGCTAATTTTGTACAGTGAACCATTCAACATTTTACGAGTAAAGTTAGAAACAAATTAACATTACAGATATATCAGTCGCACATATAATCTTAAGGTATAAGGTTTTAGTATAACAATATTTTAGTAACAAGTTTAACTTTCAATTGAATTAACAAAATTTTAAGAATAAAATTAAATACCTCAAAATGCTATAAAAAATTAATGTTTTTAAAATTAGTTCTATTCATTTATGTATCAAATAAAAGATACAACTTTACCCAATTGAAAATCCCTGTACAAGATCTTGTACAAGAAAATGTACATGTTCAGCAGCTGAACTTGTATACCTGTTCTGGTGAGAACATGTACCAAATCTTGTACAATTTCGGCACCAGAATTTGGAACAAGTTCACAAGATTTTGAACAAGTATAAATATATTTAATATTTGTATACAAGAAAATGTAGGGGAGACCGGGGCTGTTTGGCGCAACGAGTTTATTCAAAAGTGTTAAGTTACATTAATTTTTCTCTTTATTCTGCTTAAAGTACTTGATGAACTGTAAGTTTGTACAAAATTTCATTAATATTCATTAATTATTGTGGAGTATAGATTAAAGTAACTGATTTTGGCACTCCAAAGTAATTTTTTAACCTCTTCATTTTTTTGTGATATCTCTTTAAAAAATTAATTTTAGAAGAGCTGAAATATTGAGTTTTGAGCTCTATACATTTGTTATTAAGAAACAAAAAAATCTTTTGATTTATATTAAGTTTTTATAAAAAATTAATAAATATTTCAAAAGTACATTCGGGGTTAAGTGGCGCGGTTATCTGAAAATTTCGTTAAATATTAATAAAATGAAGTTGATTATATAAAATTTACACATTAATAAGCACCAATAACAATCCTATTCAAAAAATTTAACCGAATAATGGTTTTTAAATATTCACAGCGTTATTATCAAAAAAATATATATTTTTTTGGTAATTTTACGATTTTATTTAAATCAAATTGCATTTAATTTAAATGAAATTTTCTAATTTTTATATTTATAATAATTTTATTGTAAAATTACAGTACAAGACTTATTTTGTTAAGTCTTATATTATTTAAACTTTAAATCATATAATTTAATTTTAATTTCACTCCTGTGCCACGCAACCCCGGGTCGGGGTTGCTTGGCGCGTTTTACACAGCTTCAAATAAAGTGGTATAAAAATAAAAGTATTTAAAAAAAGCAAAAATGAGTGAGTTACACAACAAAGAGTAAAAAGTACGCCAAGTAACCCCGGTCTCCCCTACATATTCTTGTATACATGTTCTTGTAAAGGTTCATTTATGTCTTATTCATTTAGTAAAAATTAAAAACTTTAAAGGCTGGTAGTTTTCTTAGGACTTTACAGCTGCGCAATAATTTTTAGCATGCGCATAAGTAAAAGGTTTTAATGATTCTAAATTATTAAAATCTCAAATTTAAAAAAAATATTTTTTTTAAATGAACTTGTACAAGAAGATGTACAAGAAAATGTACATTTCCTTGTATACAAATATTAAGTATATTTACTTGTACAAGATCTTGTACAAGTTCTCGTACAAGAACTTGTTCCAAATTCTGGTGCCGAAATTGTACAAGATCTTGTACATGTTCTCACCAGAACAGGTATACAAGTTCAGCTGCTGAACATGTACATTTTCTTGAACACGATCTTGTACAGGGTTTTTCAATAGGGTATAGTTACATAAAAAAATTTGTGGAATATTCAACATATTAAAATTATATCCGTATCTAGGCCTTTTCATTTCCGAAATTTTAATTTTTAATACGGTCATCACCAAAAAAACAAATTCAACATATTATTTGGGGCAAATGCTTTTTCTTAGAAAATTTATGAATATCATTTAAAAAGTTGGTGAAAATTCCTAAAAATAACCATAAATATACCATTTGATTTAAATTTAATTTCTATATAAATTTAGAAACTTATTTCTAAATTGTCGAAAATAAATGCAATTAATATAATTCTAATTTACCTACGTTATTTAAATAATATGTTCCACAAGTATATATACGAAAAAAAAAATATATATATATATATTATGTGTGTGTATGTGTGTGTGTGTGTGAAACTCTTAACTTATTTTAATTGACAAAACACTGAAGACATTAACAGTGATTTAGAATAATTCGTCTTTTGATGCACTTTAATAAATATATATTAGAGTATCCCAATCAAAATTAATTTTGAATAATACTTGCGATTGTTCACAGTTAATCAAATTATGGTATTAGATACAATTGTTCCCGACAAATCCTAAAAAGTTTTACAAGTCATATATTCATAAAAATTAATTTCAAATGAAAAATATTTTTAAAAAAACTATACCTGCTTCAGCTAATTTTTTAAAAAATTTCTTTTTGAAATTAAAAAATTTATCAAGCTCGAATAGTAAGAAAATTCTCTAAATATTTTGCAATTTTATTCCTGCATTCAATAATAATCATATACACTCTCTGTATCAGTGAATTTTATTGCTAATCAGTTATAAGTATACCAAATTAGTGAAATTCTACTGATTTGGTATACTTATTATAACTGATTAGCAGTGAAATTCGCTGATTCAAATTAAGAGAGTAAACTATTATTCTAATATTTATTTAAACAAATTTTTACTAAAAAAAATTTTTTGTATTTTATTTGCAGTTTTTTATATATTTATAGTTAAAATCTATTTGGCGTTGATTGTCCGCCGACTTTTTTCTTGTGGTTAAAATTGAAAAATAAAAAAAAAAATTTTTTGCATACATTTTTATCTACAAAAATACATAGTTTTGGGCAATAGTTTTAATTAAAAAATGAAAAAAAATTAAATTTATATAATTATTTCTAAATATTTCATAGAAATTGATGTATTATATCAACACTACATGATAAAAAATATATATATTTTATCCAAAAAATTTTTGGTGTTTTTTCTTTATTACAAAAACATTTCTTCCATTTTTCCTAGAATTATTTATAAACAAAAAAAAAGTAGAAATGAAAGAAAAGAAACACAACGACATAACTGCATAAGGAATATGCAGAATCGCACACTTTACAACACCAGTAAGTAAAATCTTGACCATCAGGATGAGTTTGGAGGCCGAACAAAGCCCGCATGTAACTGCCCTCTCAAACATTAGTTTTCTAGAAGAATATGTTCCTATTGGTCGCTCCTCCTATGTAGGGGGCGTTTCTATAGGACATTGTTAAATTATATAAACGTGTGTGAGTGTGGAATGATTAACTCAGTCTTTGGATCATCAGACAAGTACTCATCGTGAGATTCGTATGGGGATCGCAGTCACTATCGGTCGCGCTGCAAGGTCCAGTACAACTAGTTTACTTCGTTAACTCAGCTTAAAACTAATCAAAATTAATCATAACTGCTAACAATTGATCACAATTGGTTCAGATTCCATTACACACGTGGTCCGCACGGGTAATCATCTAAGTTTTTGCATAATTGTTTAAGTGACACGCGCAACCATCAAAAACATCGTCAAGCGCCTTTTTTTTAAATTATAAAGAGGTTGAGTAGAATTAGAACTACTTTTTAGTTTTCCGATCATTTCATTTATCAGTTATCTATTAATTACAAACGGACAGTGATTGTTAAAAAAAAAAAGAAGGAAAGATAATATTAAATATTTATAATTTTTTATCATCCAAAAAGCAACAACTGTGATTAAATATTAAAGTGCGCCCCTAGTTTTTCATTATTTTTTCAAAATTAAATTTTGATTGTAAAAAAAAGTTTCTCGAAGAAATGGACGGTGGTCCTTTTGATGATCAGATATTTTCGGAATTTGGAAATCGAACTGCTAGCGGTGTTCATAGTATTCAAGTAATGTTAGGCTTGCATAGTTCTCATCATGGGAGTGATATAATGCCAACAAGTGGACATCTTCATAAATTGGATACATCTAATAGTCCACCTCCACATCATCAAACTTCACATCAACATCTTCAACAGCAAAAAGAATTAAAGGAACTTGAATTAGTTGGAATGTATGCTCCACTTTCTCAAACGCAAGATATAACAACTTCTACATCAACAACTGGTACATCAACATCGACTACTCTTCAACAAAGTTTACAACTTGGAAATTCTTTGAAAAGGAAACCTGAAGATCCATTAGGAAATCTAACGTCGGGTAAGAATAAATCAAATTTACTTTATTTTAAATGGAATTTTTGTAAAATTTAAAATGTTAATTTGCGATCTCTGCTACAGTTTTGGAGGTTTTGAGGACTAACGAAATAAATACATTTTCATGTGCCTGCACTGAAAAAACGTAAATCTAAATTTAAGTATATCTCCTTAACGCCTATATTTAAGGATATTTAGAGTTACTTTTTTCAGTGTGAATTTCTGATCGTTCAAATGAACGAAATCATTTTTTGGGTCTTTAAAGTTTTCAAAATTACTTTTCCAATTAAAAATAAACAAATACATTTAACATTTATTATAAATTATTAATTTATTCTTTTAATACAAAAACCAATATTTTGCAATGAAATTTGAATTTAAAGAAGTAGTAATCAAATGTTTTGTTCTTATTCAAATGTTCAGAATTTGCAGAATATACATTTTTTTCAAAAAAGTTTTTTTTTTATTAATAAACAAATTATTTTTTATTAACTTTTTAAGCATATAAAAATATAACATATTTGAAGAAAACTTTATAAAATTTTCATTAAAAATATTTTTGAAATTTTATAATCAGTGAAAACTGTTTTTCTGAGATCTCCCTCAAAGAAGAGTTTCCGGTGAACTCGATAATGCCGGTTGGTAAAATTATATTTTAATACGAAATTTTTCATAACCATAATAATAATAATTGTGAGATTAATTTCCAACTTTGGGAAAATATTTTTGACATTTTAGAGTAAGTGCACCTATTACGGCGAGTGCATCAATTACGGTGCGTTCATAAAAAATAACTATTATTACTATTATATATTTAATATAACTGTTGCAAAATGATTAAAAAAAATTATTTTAATCTTGTTTTGATACAATTACTAATAAAGATGCATATTTAAACAATTATTAATTTAATTATTTGAGATCAAATTTTTTCCCTCGCCGTAATTGAAACATTTTTAAGATTTCCATTGGCATCAATTACGGTGGGCAAAGTATCTTCAAAATACACGTAATTTTGGTCACCGAAACTGATACAAACGCGACGTAATAGAAAATTACAGTATTAGTTTTAATTTCTCATATTTGTTTAAATAATTGACTTTTATAAAGTTAAATTTTTTTTTAATATCTAAATAACATAAGCTTTTAGTTTAATAAGTCTTCAATTGACTTTATACAATGGAAATTCAAATTTTCTATTTCAAAGGTGTTTTGGCTCGAATCGCGCCGTAATTAGTGCATTTACCCTAATATATTATTAGATAAAAAAATTTTCTAATTTTTTTCACTAAAAAAATTATATTCTAACTTTAAGAATATCTTCTTGACGCCTATTTAAGAAAACTTCCCATGTATTTTACTATTAAAGTTATAGAATATAATATTCTTAAAATAAGAAACGTTTCTTAAATTAAGAATTTTTTCGTTTGTCTGTAGAATCTTTCTTAATTTAAAAATGTTTCTTATTTTAAGAGCATTTGAACCTTCGTGACGTCACAAATCATGGCGCATGACACGCAAACTTCTCAGGTATGTGAAAAACACAATTTTGAATATTTTTTAAAAAAACCTTTTGGAAAATGTTCAGAGAAACATAGACTATGTCTGTTATGTGCGAAAAATTCAAAATTTTGCGTATAAAACGTTTTTTAAACAATGTTTAAGTTGGTTCCCTGTTGAAAATTCCTATGTGAGAACACATATGGGATCCCATCCAGGATCTCTTGTGAGTTCTTATGTGGGTTCCCATACAGGTTCACACATAAGATCCTGTATGAAAAGGTTCCTGGGATGAACTTGCGTGAGATCAAGCGCACGATCTTATGTCTCTGTAAAAGCAATAACACAGGATCCCATGAGGTTTCCTGTGTAGGTTCCTATATGAACAACACGATAAATAGGAACACACATGGGATCTTATCCGAGATCTTGTATGAGTTCTTACATAGGTTCCCACATAGGTTCTCACATATAAGAAGATTAATAGCAGCTTAATAAGATTTTATATCAAATCTTATTAAGCTGCTATTAATCTTCTTATATGTGAGAACCTATGTAAGAACTCATACAAGATCTCGGATAAGATCCCATGTGTGTTCCTATTTATCGTGTTGTTCATATAGGAACCTACACAGGAAACCTCATGGGATCCTGTGTTATTGCTTTTACAGAGACATAAGATCGTGCGCTTGATCTCACGCAAGTTCATCCCAGGAACCTTTTCATACAGGATCTTATGTGTGAACCTGTATGGGAACCCACATAAGAACTCACAAGAGATCCTGGATGGGATCCCATATGTGTTCTCACATAGGAATTTTCAACAGGGTTGTCACAAGTAAGGAAAAATACACGAATTGCTTATATATAGGCATTGTTTAAAAAACGTTTTAAACGCAAAATTTTGAATTTTTCGCACATAACAGACAGAGTCTGTGTTATTCTGAATATTTTCCAAATGGTTTTTTTAAAAAATATTCAAAATTGTGCTTTTCACATACCTGAGAAGTTTGCGTGTCATGCGCCATAATTTGTGACCTTAACATTGTTTAAAAAACGTTTTAAACGCAAAATTTTGAATTTTTCGCACATAACAGACAGAGTCTGTGTTATTCTGAACATTTTCCAAAAGGTTTTTTTAAAAAATATTCAAAATTGTGCTTTTCACATACCTGAGAAGTTTGCGTGTCATGCGCCATGATTTGTGACGTCACGAAGGTTCAAATGCTCTTAAGAATATTATATTCTAACTTTAAGAATAAAATACATGTCAAATATTCATAAATAGGCGCAAAGAAGATAGTTTTAAATTTTGAATACAATTTTTTCAGTGCTGAAAACTCAATACTTATATCTATAACTTCATTTTTATATGTGAAAGAGAGAGATAGCATTATGTGGATTCAATTTTTTTTAATGAATGCCCCCCACCCCCAAGAACCTTGTCTGGATCCGCCTCTGATAAAATATAATTTTCGTCGATTTTCTTAAATTGAATTAAATTAAATTATTTTCTTAAACTTTCAATTCACATATATTTTTTTTACATTTTTCAATTAATAATTTAACAAATAATAAATTTGTCTGATGGGGTCCATAGTCGACATGGACGAAAAACTTAACACACATGTAAAAAATTAATAATAAATGTGAATGGATTATTGTTAAATACAAAATAAATATATTTTTACGCCAGAAATTACTCTAGTTTACAAAATTAAAATAAATTTTTAACCTTGGGCAATTCATACTTATTTCTTATGTATAAAATTTTCTCCTGAATCCGAATATGAAATCAGATATTTATAAAGTTAAAAATTTAGCTATTACTAAATTACTTAGCTAAATTTCAATTTTTTGAGTTTCGAAAAAAGTGGGTTCACTTATTTTGCAGTTATCTCTGGATTTAATTAATAGATTACAATTTTCTACACTGTCTTTTGTGGACATTATATTTGTTTCTCGAATTTGTTACTTGTCTTTTATTTACTGGTGAAAACGTCCCAAATTACGAAAAAATGATCCATGACTTGCTCACAAACTATAAGAAAATCGGTATAATTTTTTAATATTTCTTTTTTAATGATATCTGTTTTTAACTTTTCTAACTTTATTCATATATATTAATTCCATTTTATTGGAATAGGTGTAAATATGTCTTTGAAAATTTATTTCCCACACTCCCACCTGGATTTCTTCCCAGAAAATCTAGGCGCTAAAAGTGATATCCCCTGAAAACTCCTCTTTCTGCACTGATTAAAAACAATTCTCTCTATGTCATTATTTTACATTTCACTTAGTATCCAGATAGTTTTTTCTGACAATGAGAATTGTCTTTTTTCAAGATTTTTATAATTATTTTCTAAATTTTTTTCGATGAATATTTTTAAATAAAGGTTTTTCACAGGCTTCTTCTTTCTTGAAGGTTTCTCTTTCCCAGTTTTTTCTATCTTTCAAAATTGTTCGATTTTTTCACTTGGGTATAAGAATTACTGACGTGGGCCCCTAAATTTTTTTTTTTTGGGTAAATGGATTTTGGTAAACTATTTACAGGTTTCTATTATACCATCATAGACAATCAAAACATATGAAAATGAAAAAAAATTATTTATCCAAAAAAATTTAATGGACCACTTCAGGAATTCTTACCTATTTAGATTGAGTGCGTTTTGTATAAGAATAGTCCAAAATGACTGTAAGTTTATGTTTCCTCCCTCCCCACAAAAAAAGCAGATCGTACACGGAGAAAAAGGAATGGTTGGGCCAACCATAGGTATTGATAAATACGTCCCATCAATATTATATGGTTACCACAACCATATCTTTAGTTGATACAACCATAGTATGGTTGGCGCAACCAAAGGTCAGGTTGACACATCAAATTTGCAATTTTTCGTCATTTTGATGTGACAACCTAACCTTTGGTTAGGCCAACCATACTATGGTTGTATCAACTAAAGATATGGTTGTGGTAACCATATAATATTGATGGGACGTATTTATCAATACCTATGGTTGGCCCAACCATTCCTTTTCTTTCCGTGTAGAAAATTGTTCTTTCAATTTGTAGCCTCTTTTTGTTATGATTAAATTAGATGGAATGTTGTCAGACGATTTGAGAAAAGATCGAAAAACTCAAGGTCATATTTGGCTTTTTAATTCTTAATCAAGGATATACAGTAAATGCCTATAAGTTATAAACATCTTTGGAAATGTAAAAAATGAATACGAATATATACTTCAACTTTTAATACAGTATAATAGGGTAGAATATTTATTGTATTTTATTGTTGTTGTTTCAGTTAATAATGAGGTGCAACCTGCCAAAAAGGATTCTAAAAAGAAGACTGATAACAATGGAATTAAGAAAAAGAAAACAAGGTATATATTTACAAACTTTTATTACTACTTTTTCATTCGCACGATCTCTTAAGGATGTTTATCCACGGAAATGCAGACCTGTAGAATTATTTTCTGAAGAAAATAAGCCATATTACATTGAAATCGAATCTTTTTTAAAAAATTTTATACAATATAAATTGTAAAAACAAATAAATTTTGTAGATTAAAAATTTTTTTTTTTTGAAAATTGATATCTCTTCTTTCAGAGAGTACATATACAATTAATAATATTATTTTAATTATTTAAATGTTAACAGTATAATATTTTACTAAAAATTAGTGAAAATTTTTTATTATAATTTGAATTAGGGAACGAATTCTCACCAACTCAAATTTAGAGAGTAAGAAGAAAGGAAAAAATATATTTTTGCAATATACCCTTTAGTTTTTCGATTTCATTTTTCTCAATTCAAATTATCATTTATAAGAATAAAAGAGAGAAAGAGAGAGAGATAACATAATTGTCTAAATTACACGAAGGGGATTATATGAAAAGTGGGGGAAATTTAGACACACATATAAACACAATGAGGGACCCCTATCTACCCACACGGTGCAGTACTTTAATAAAGTATACTGGACATATGTAGTAATAATAAATATATTGGAATTTTGCTTCTCACGTGGTCTAACTTTGATTGTAATATTGTAAAATATGAGTCAAACCACCTCAACTGTGACAAACTTTTGTTGATATTTGGAAATGTAAAAACGTTCATGAAAATCTGTAGTTGACAACAAAATTTAAAAAAAAAACACACACTTTAAACCTATCTTTGAAATTTTAAATCTTTTTATAATTTTTTTTTTACACTAAAAAATATTGAGTTAAAATTAAAATGTTTTTAAAAATTTTACTACAGTAAATTAATCTGATTAATTATTATGAAGTTAAATTACTTATTGAATTACTTCTCTTAAATATTTTTATTAAAGCGAATTAAATCAATTTTTGAATTTTTTCCGACATATTGGATCTGCCATTTTGAATTTTGAAAAACTGACCTCGGATTTGTATTTAGCGAGCCTAAAAACCCCAGAGTAACAAGTTTCAAGCGAATTCAATCAATTTTTAAATTTTTTCTGCCATATTTGATTGGCCATTTTGAATTTTTGAAAACTGTCCACATATTTTCATTTTGTCATATTTTAACATTACTGGTGCTTAATTTAGAGATAATTTGAACATTTTTTGATACTTTTCTAATGTTTGAATTATAATTTCTCCAAATATTTTTGGTAAACTTAATATGGCCAAGGTATAATCATTTATTTTTATTAAATTTAGAACAACATTTACGGCCTATCAATTAGAAGAATTGGAAAGAGCATTTGAAAGAGCTCCTTATCCCGATGTATTTGCACGAGAAGAATTAGCTTTGAAGTTGGCACTTTCGGAATCACGAGTTCAAGTTTGGTTTCAAAATCGACGAGCTAAGTGGAGGAAGCGCGAACCTCCCCGAAAAACAGGCTATATGGCAACTGGATCTGGAAGTCCTGGTTTGACAGGTAATTTTTTTTTCTAGTTTTACTATATTTTAAAAATTGATTTTAGAAAAGCAGGTAATTAAAGTGAAAAACTAAAAAATCACATAATTCCAACAGCATCCAGTTTAAAATTTTTACATCTATTACTTTCTAAATTAGTAAAAAAAAAATCACAGATGTCAATTCAGTTGCTAAATTCCAGCTATTTGAATTTGAAAAATTATTAAATTTTCATCATCTTTTGTTTGTTTTCAGGATCATTTACCTCCATAAATAACAGTATAAATCCTTTTGGAACGTCAACAACAACAGCAGGACCACCTGACGCATGGTCATACACTCCAACAGCTTACGATCTTGCGCCACATTTAAATCTCTTGAGTTCAACAGGTTCACCTTATTCAACTTCTTTCGGAGGACCCAGTAATAATGGATCTGCTTATTCTTATGCTACAATGTTACCGCAACATGATCCATCTCTTTTTTCTGCACCATCAGGAAATACAATGAGAGTTCATCAGGATTATATGAATGCCAACAATAGTCCACCACCTTCACTTACACGTGACTATCAAACCATGGTTACACATTCTTCGCCACAACATCTCACCAGTTCTATTTCAGAGGATGAACATCAAAATAAACAATTAGACTATGTAAGTGGTCTTAGTCCAACAGATAAATATCAACATGAACAAGCAGAATATTCTCATCAACACGATCAAAAACAAGATTATGGAATGCATTCGCCTTCAAATCGACAAGGCCTAAAAGATCAAGTATTAATTAAAAGCGAGCCCGGTGGCCAACAGAGTTATGTTCAATTACCTCCTTTTTTAAACTAACAAGAACTCTCAGGACAAAATATATGAATAAAAAATCGAATTAATAATTCTCTAAAAGAACTATTAAATTTACATTCTTTCATAAAATTATTATTATTATTATTATTGTTAACTTATATGCTATACATAAAAGTGTAAACCGTTAATAAGAGGGCGGAAATTAGGAACAACATATTATAATATGTATTTAAACCAAAATTCTCCAAAAATGCTCGATTATTTGTAGCCCAATATTGAGGATACTATTATTAAGAAGAATAAAGTAATAATTTATATATTAACAATAATAGTATATAAATTCAAATTATTGTTTCCTCTATATAAACAAAGTGAAATGTGCACAGCCCTATCAGAGTACATACGTCCATTAAAATTCACTTTGATCGCGTATTGGACACCATTTATTGTCCTCGATTAACCTCGATAAAAGTTTTGGATTGCTGTTCAATCAGTTTTTATAAGTATTATTCCTGATGGTATTCAAAAATTTGTTTCCGAAACAATCACTTTTTATTCGAATTTCTACTTAACTCAAGAAAAAAATTCTTTCCTGATCATTACGAATTAATTTTAATCCTTTTGAATCCTAAAAAGATGAGGATCAATAAGGCCGTTTTTTGGGTCTTTCTCAAATAGATTTATATTATGAAAAATTTGATCTCCTTAGAATGATAGACAATTTCCCCAAACCGTTTTTGATTTATCAAAAAATACCGGCAATAACTCATCTTAAAAAATTGTAAAATACATCTTAGCAGAGATTAGTTAATTTTAATTCGTAATTAAAAAGTCCCGGTCATCAAACTTTCCCAAAAACTTTGTACATATGTAGTGAAGAAAATATGTCATTATGAGCGATCTAAATCAAAAACCGGAACAAAAAATTCATGATGGCGAATCCAATTCGTTGGAAACTTGCTACTTGGGGGTAGATATACAAAATTCAAAATGTCGGATTCAATATGCCGGAAAAATATAACTAGTAGGATGAGTTATTTCCGGTATTTGTTGATAAATCAAAAAACGGTTTGAGGAAATTTTCTAGCATACTATAAGGAGACCAATTTTTTCATAATATCAAACGATTTGAGATGGGTCCAAAAAAAATGACCTTATTGACCCTCATCCTTTCATTTCAAATCAATTAGAAGCTAAATTAAAAATTTTTAATCCTTTTAAATTATAAAATTTAATTCCGAATTAATTCGTTTTCAAGCCAAAATAATTTATTTGTAATGAAATTTTTGGTTTTAAAAAAATTAAATTTCGGAATGATCCGGAAAATTTTTTTTCCTACCTATTAAAAATGATTGAAATTTAATCCAAAACTTTCGTGAGGGAAATCATAAAAAAGTTGATCTTGCATTGTGTTTTTATTTCGTTTGTATTAAGTTTTAAATTAATTCATATTGTTATACGTATTTCCAAAAAGTATATATACATATATATATTTATCTATACCAAGTTTTACTCTTTCAAATCGTCTTATTTTCAAATTTTTTTTAACTATATAGCATAGTATATATTGACAATTTTAAATGTTTTGTAAATTTTATTTCAAAGTATAAGAAATATAAGAACACAGGCGGATAAAATTTTAATTAACAAAACCAGATTGTTCCTGAAGATTTTTAAAAGTTAAGATTCATAATCTATGAACCTTGAGTAGGTAATAATTTCAAGCAAATTCAATTGATTTTTAAAAATATGTCTACGATATTAGATCTGCCTTTTCGAATATTGAAAATCTTATAGGGAATAACAAATTTTAATAAAATTGGGATTTTGAATTTTTTTTTCTTTGATATTAAACTCCGATTTCCAAGCAGCGATTTCTAAAATCCTCAAATGACAAATTGTGTGTAATTTTATATACTTTATGAAAATTGATTCGACTTTATTGTGAACATTAAAATGAAATTACACTATTCTTTATGTTGAAGTTGGCAAGTTATAAGTTAAAGTTGAAGCTTAATTATTTCGGGTATACCAAATTTTATTTAATTACAAAAATAGTAGATTTTATTCTAACGACTTTTTTTTTAAAAATAATTAATATTTAATAAAATTTTTCTCTATTAAATGCAGAGAAATTTTTAATAGTTTTCTAATTAGGATATTCACCTTATTGTCGAGTTGAACAAATAAATTACATACTTTCAAAAAACGATTTTTCAAAGTGGAAAAAAAAACTATCTAATGAGTCTAAAATTTTAATAATAAGAAATATAGTCTGGTCCAGAAGATCAGCAACATTTTTTCGGCCTGTGCAATTTTTGCAATATTTTCTACTACTAAGAGTTTAATTGTAATTAAAATAAAAAGATTGTTTTAAGAAAAACTCCTTAAATTGATAATATTCCATTAAGTGTATAGAATGTTGTAAAAGATTTACTTTTTTCTTTGATTTTTAAAAAAAATGAAACATATTGTAATAGTCTAATATAAAATGTATACAATTATATGTGCCTTAAAGGAAATTTGAGTACAATTCATATTTGCAATCTATGCTATACAATTTAGATTATGGAAAAAAATATATCTTTGTTATACTAAATAGTAAAAATCCAAATTTGTACACTTATACTGATCTCATTTATGTGCCTTTTATCATTATCGTATAAAATAATAATTATCTCTAAGATCATTTAAAGTATCTCACGAAGTTTTGCTTTATTTGTGAAAAATTATAACTATGTACGTCAAATATTCTACAAATTCAAAAGATTTACTAATATGGATTCCAAAAGTGCTAAAACCTCTCTGTTTACTTTCTTGTAAGTTTGTCAAATAAAAAATACAACAAAATATTACAATAAAAAAAATTTCAAAAATAAAAAATTTCCTGAATTAAATTGTACTATCCTTATTACACAAATATTTTCTCATATGGAAAACATATGATTACACAGTGTGGAACACCAAAAATTGGGTTAAGATTTGACTATGATGGTATATATGCTTAAAAAATCAATTTCAGTTAACCCCTTGACAGTCCAATATACTTGACAGGCCCATATACGTCCAAAAAAAATCGTGCTACCTTTATGGTTTTGGACATATATGTCCACAGTAGAAAAAAAATACTAAACATAATTCGATTTAAGTGTCAATGGATATACTAAGGTTTTCGAGGTCGCTGAATCCGAATTTGAGGTCAGATTTAAAAAATTCAAAATGGCGGACCCAATATGGCGTTCAAAAAAATTTTTAAATTGACTAAATTTGCATAAAAATGGTTCCTTTAGGGTTTTTGGGGTCGCTAAATCCAAATTTGAGGTTAGATTTAAAAAATTTTAAACGGCGGACCCAATATGTCGGAAAAATTTGAAATTGATTAGATTCGTTCAAAAACCCCCCAAGTACAGAATTTTGAACGAATCGAATCAATTTTAAATTTCTCCTCCATATTGGGTCCGCCATTTTGAATTTTTAAAATCTGACATCAAATTTGGATTCAGCGACCTCAAAAACCCCCGAGTACCGAATTTTGAACGAATCGAATCAACTTTAAATTTTTCTGCCATATTGCATATTATATATATATATATATATATATATTATTATTATTTCATTTTTTAATTTTTTTATCTTCACTGAGACGTTATTCAAGTTAAAATTTAAAAACTCCTTTGAATATTTAAAAAAAAATTATACTCACAATCAGGTCAGATTAGTGCGGCTATAATTCCGTTTTAGGAATTAAAATATCAAAGTTTTCAGGTTTTTGGCCTATTAGAAAGAAAATTGCATTATATATTTTTATTTAACTTTATCACTTGAAATTAAAATCAACTTTTTATTTTAATAACGTATGTACATATAGTTTAAGTGACATTATTTTAAAACTGATTCGATTACGTGGTTTCCATCACCAGAATCAGTACAAAAGTAAGAATCATTACTAAAATCATTTTTTATATTAAAATGGAGAAATCGAAATATTTTTGGCGTTAAAAGTTAATTTAATAAACATTAAAATAAAAAGTTATTTTGTTTAATAAAATTGTTATAAACAAATTTTAGTTCTATTGTTTTAAAAAATCTAATTGTTTATAATTTTTTTAATAACAAATTGGATAAAAAATGTTGGAATGTTATGTATATTTTTTGGAAATATAAAATATACAAGGTTTTTTTTTCAAAGAATACAGTTTATATAAAATAGTGTCGGTGACACACCAATAGATATCGGAACCCACTAAAGGTAGGTTCGAAAGCTAGTATAATATATAATAATTAAATATAAAAAAAACAATAATTTAAATTACATTGAACCGCCGGCGACCAAAAGGGCTTAGGCGTGACTTTCGTTGGCCCTGCGTTCAGCGAGTATCCAGCTATTCCAGGGGCCAATGAAAACCTCGCCTAAGCCCTTTTGGTCGCCGGCGGTTCAATTGTAGATATTCAAAATGTAGAAATAAAAAATTTATGATTATACAATACACTTTTTACTCGTTACAGTGAATTTATTGAAGGTTTATTTTCTTCTAAAAAAATAAAGTAAAATGTCCTTTGCAGTTTTTAATTATTTTGTATAAATTACAATTGAAAGTATTTAATGAGAGACGACTATTCTTTTGGACGAGACCTATGGGCGTGACGTTTTGAAAATTTAAAAAAATATCGAAAAATACAAAGTTTTAAAAATAAAATTATAATGTTTAAATTCTAAAAAAAATTAGTACCTTTTTTTTGGAATTTTCGCATTGAATTTTTAAAAATTTCACGTAAAAAGACAATTTCAAAAATAACTGTTTTTGGCCTGTACCCTCCCATATGAATAAAAAAAGAAAGTTATTTGATTTTAATTACGTTATATTTAAATATAAAAATATTGGAATTAGTTAAATTTATTATTACATTGTATTTCCTAAGGTACTGTACAGATATTAAATATTCAGAATTATTTTTACATATTTATAATAATTGAACATCACCGTTTTTAATGAATTTCGAAATTACGCCATATTGTATAATATGCTGTGAACCTGCTTCAAAAGTGACTGGATCTTCCATTGTTTCTGGTATTACAATTCCATTAATTTCTTTATTTGCAGTGAGAAACACTTGACTTTGAAGATTAGGATCAACAGATAAATTTTCATAATCGAATTGTCTTAATTTTTCTGGCATATGTTGTAAAGCAACTGTTTGAAATAATGTTTCAAAGTTCATGAAATAATCTTTGGCAAAATTCAATTCAGACTCAGTCAGATAGAACTCCTCAGAGTTGTTTAATAAATTATTTCTATGCTCTTTGAGTATATGTATTACATGATTTTCAATTTTCTTAAGGCGAGTCCTGAGGTAGCTCGATATAAGAAATCTTATTCTATTCAATTCCATGGTATGAATTGTAATTCTAATGTCATCTTTTTCTAAACTCTCTAATTTTTCCTCCATGTCTGATAGACATTGCATCATAAAGCGTATGAGGTTTTCCTTATGTGGAAGAAGTTCAGGAGCAAATTTCTCATTTAACCATGCATTTTTAAGAACTTTAAGGGGTTCTTGTAAAGATTCCTGCAAAAAAATTTACATTTTAAAATCAAAAGTTTTGAAAAGAATAAAAAAAAAAATAAAAAGAATAACAGAGATTTTAATAATATTAAAAATATAAAAGCGTTTTAAAAAGAGAATATTATATATGTGATATGTGTGTATGTGATGTATAATAGAATTTTTGAATTGAAATAGTTAAAATAGTCAATATAATAATAATTAAAGAAACAACAATTTTTTTCTTTTTTTGAATGAATAAAAAATAAGTTATGATCAGATGATCATAACAAGTGCAAAAAACAAAAGTGGATTATACAGTTTTTTATATCTCGATATGCCTGGCAACTATTTAAATCGTTTTAATATATTGTATCTATTTTATAGTCTCCATGTCTTCAGTAGAAAATAAAGTATTGATGAAATGAACACAAAAAAATTGTACTTCAACTTTGCGGTGGTTTTTGATTTGAATTAATAGAGTAAATTCCTTTTTATCCCTCAGGCACAAACGTGGCGCTTTTAGATACCTGTCGTCCGGGTGTAAAGCCAATCATTTATTCCCCCGTCTGAAAATGGTGTCTATGTTTGCCCTAGGATAAAAATGAACAGATGGCCCATGTGTTATTTTTGTCCTAGGGTAAAAATGGACGCCATTTTCAAACGGTAGAACAAATGAATGGCTTTTTCACCCGGCCGTCAGATAACCTAAAAGCGCGACGTTTGTGCCCATGGAATAAAAAAGTATCGTAAGTAACATGGGTCTAAAGGCAGGCATTGGACCCTTGTTGCTTAATATACTATTTTACAATTTCTCATGGAGGAAGCATTGTAATACTGAAATTTTTCGAACTTGATTTTTTGATGTATCTTTATGTATTTCGACCTCAGGAATACAAAAATCACATTTTTAAAAAATGTTCCGTGTGTGTATAATATATACTACATTTTCTTAAATATCTCGAATGCTATAAGAGTTAAAGGGATAAATTTTTTTTAAATTGTAGGTCTCACTGTCGGACAAACAATGAGAGAACTTAGAGCAAAATTAATAAAGATAAACTATTATTTTTTTCATTTAAAAATTTTTGAAAAATCGTTTTTTGCCCATAACTTTAAAAAAATATTAGAACACCTATATGTATATTTTTCTTTAATTTTGTAGTTTTTTAAGACGCATCTATTGAAATGTTAGCGAACATTCTACTGATATATTCTATCCAAAGTCATTGAATTTTTAAAAATTAAAGAAAAACGTTTTTTGCTCATAACTTAAAAAAATGTATTGACACCAATAGATATTTATCTCTAGTTTTGTAGAGTTTTTCAAGACGCATCTTTTGACCCATTAGCGAACATCCTACTGTTATTTTATCCAGAGTTATTGACATTTTGAAATTGAAAAATTTTGAAAAACCTGCCTTTTTGTCTTATTTATTAAAAAATATTTATGTATCTTTAAAAGTATTATGAACAACTTGGAGAATATTGCAATCTTTCTTATCGGGTTTTTTTTTCAGACTAATTTTATATATATATAATAAATTAGTAAATCAAATTTTTTTGACTTAATTGAATGTATAAAAAATATACAGTGTAAAAAAAATATGGAAATTTGCCAATATCTCAAGAAGTACGTATTTTCGTGAAAAATGTTTAATACAAAAATTGTTCTCAACAAAAAGATCCATATTTTTGAACCCAAAACATTGGGCCCGGGACCCAACAGTGAAAAAAGAAGTATAACTAAAATGCGTACTTTTCGAGATATTTGCAAGTTTCCATACTTTTTGAACACCCTGTATGGTACACCTATATTTATTATTTATATTATGAACGTTGTTTTTATTAAACTAACCTCTTGTAATTCTTCATTAAAATCTTCAAATTCATTTTCATTTACAACTTCATAAGACATTTTTTAATCTATAATTATTATTGAAATTATTTATGCTGTTTAATATATGAAATCCCTTATAAAATTCTTTTTAATCAAATTGTGTTTGTTTATGGTATTTGGGTAGATCTGTCATCAAGGTTGTACACGATAAATACGTAAGATAAATTACAATGGAACGTCTCAAATATTTCATATCTGACGATGGTAAGATCGTTGGATTCACCGACTCACATTTTGTTTGCAAAAGCGTTCACTTGAAGCGCAACGATCAGAAAGTGAATGGCTTTAAGGTGAAATCACACAGATGCGTAAAGCAGAAAATAATGAAAGTGAGAGAGATGTATATCTACATTTCTTGCACTCATGACTTTCTGATTACGGCAGCATGTGATTTCACTCTAATATATGTATACTGTAGGGCCGTTTCCAAATTGGGATTTTTTAGGGCACTTTTGATAAAGTGTATACTCGGGATGTATGCAGTGTCCTTGTTTTTCCGTTTGAAAAAAAGGACACTGCATACTTCTCGAGTATACACTTTATCAAAAGTGCGCTAAAAATCCCAATTCAGAAACGGCCTAGGTTAGTTCCCACACAGCACCCAAAATTCCCTGAAACTTGACAGAACCTCACACGGCTAGGTTAGGAAACTTCAGTGGCAACTCACACAGCACATATATTTCCAAAATTTTTGAAATATTTCACTGAAATTTTGGAATATTTCAGTGCAAAGTCCTTGAAATATTGCTGCAAACAGGAAAATATCCGCTTATGAGGAAATATTGATGGTCAACTTGTGAAAATATTTTACTGAAATATTCTGGAAATTTTAAACTTAAATGATGCGCACTGGTCGACTTCAGTTACTATGGCTTGTACAACTGCGCAGTAGTTTTTAGTTTTCTAGAATCCTAAGGGTGTTAAAAATTTCAGAAAATATCTATTGATTACATGTGTCAAAAAATTTTGGACATTTTGTAAAATATTTCCTGAATATTTCAGCCCAGTAAAAAAGGATTTTTTGAGATAGCAGTTCGGACAATTGAGCAAGCCGTTTGCTCAATTGTCTAAAATGCATTCGGACAATTGGAGTGTTTGTTCAATTGTCCAATGCATTATGCCCAATAATCCGCAATATTTCTCGTGTCTAAAAAGCTGCTAAAATAATATGAAAAACTATTGAAGCATTGAAAAAACGGTGGAAAATGCATAATTCTTGATTTATACAGAAAAAGAAAGTATAAAAATACCTCGATCGAGGAAAAGGAAAGAGTTTTCCGAAAAATCACTTTTAACTGACAGTATACTGCTGTACTTGACATTTTATGGGTAAAAAAGAGAAGATTATGATAATGAGTGACACTTCATTATCGACTCTCAATATTTGTCGAATGGTAAAATATAATAGTAGATTTCTTTCTGATTTTTTAAAAAAGGAATAATTATTGAATTAATTGAATTAAATATTCTTTTTATGTGGACATTTAAACATCGACACAAACTTGTATGAACCTTGCCACTGAAGTTTCCTAACCTCGCTGTGTGAGATTCTGTCAAGTTTCAGGGAATTTTGGGTGCTGTGTGGGTTGCCATTGTCTCCACTCGCCATTTTTTATAATTCTCGTAAACTACCGCACCCTGCTCTAGTGAAAAGTTATTGAATTTATTGTTAAAATTAAAAGTTACTATAAGGTCACTAAATTTTTACTAGAGCAGGGTGCGGTAGTTGACGAAAATTATGACAAATGGCGAGTGGGGACAATGGAAAAACCGGATGCGCGCATTGTATTACCAACTGTCGCATTTTATTGTTTAAGGGTGCTTAAACAAACGCGGTTCAAAAACGAAAAGTAGGAAAGTAATGTAATGACAGCTGCTACATTGTGCTCCCTGCATGCTTCTGACACCTAACGGTTGCAGAACGTAATAAAGCTGACATTATATTACTTTTCTACTTTTCGTTTTACAATCGTGTTTTTTTTTATAGATTTGCACAATCTTTCGGATTTAGGAAATTTACAAGATAAGGATGCGTGCATCGTTTTCGCATAAAAATCGTCTTCAAGGCGATACGCTTTTGCCTATTGTGTAACCAACCTAAAGGGTCCGTCCTGGTTGGTTTTCATTGTCCCCACTCGCCCTTTGTCATAATTCTCGTCAACTACCGCACCCTGCTCTAGTAAAAATTTAGTAACTTTTAATTTTAACAATAAAGAATAAAGTCACTAAATTGCATAATTGCACTTAGGGACCATTAATTAATTATGTAAGGACGATTTTGGCTAATGTTGACCCCCCCCCCAACCCCCATGTAAGAATACATAAGATTCTTCTGATCCCCCTCCCCCTTACGTAAGTTTTTAACAATATTAATGTAATTAAAAAATTAATTACAAATATAGAAATGGAAAATACTTGGCAAAATCTTACGTAAGAATAGCATCTACCCCCCCCCCCCACCCCGACGTAAGACTATGTGGAGATTTTATACTCCCCTCCCCCTAAGGACCCTTACGTAATTAATGAATGGCCCCTTAACACACAACGCTGCATTCTTCCATTTATAACACTTTTTTGTCCTAGAAAACGACAAAAAAGTGTAGGCATATACGGGCAAGAGTGTATAGGTTATGAAAACAAATGAGAATTTGTCATCAATATCTAAAATCAGACACAAGGATTTCCAAAAATATCCACATAATTATTTTTATGCCTCATTTTTTCAAAAATTCGAAAATACGCTTTTTAAGCAAAAAAATTTTTACTGTAAATTAAATTTTTTTTGTTCAAAAAACTTATTTCTCGTATTGAAACAAATTGATTAACCTATATAAAGTCTATATTTTACTTAAAATCTATAAATTAAATAATTTTTGAAAAAAATTGTTTTACATATTTTTTGAAATAACTTTTTTCTTCATGAAAATTTTTAATAAATTTTGTTAGAGTTGTATTCCTGCCATCACCCAGATTGCATCTAAGCTTGCCGCAAGTTTACTGCTAGCTTCAAATGTCCCACCTGAGCCAAGCTTGCATGGTAAGATGCAAGATCTTGCAGTGCAAGATTGCATAATAAGATTGTCGCAAGATTGTAGCAAGTTTGGTGCAAGGTTACCATAAATAACCTTACTGTGAAGCTTGCCGCGAGGTTGTTGCAAGTTTACGTGCTATCTGGGCAAAATAAATCGATTGATGTATATAAAGTTTACATTTTACCAATATTTATAAAATTGATCGGAATTTTTATTTTTAACAAAAAATTGAAATTTTGAATTTTTTTAAAACTAATGATATATGTATAAGTGTTTATCATGATGAGGAAGCTAAATGGTCATATGAAACAAACAAATTTTTAACTTGTTTGTGCTATGCTAGGCTATGCCCAGATAAAAATTTCTGTATACAGGATCTTATACATACATGATCGCTGTTCCAATATCTTGCGCAAGATTAACGTTAAAAACTTCAAAATTTTTTTACATTATCATGCTATGTTGTTATACAAGAAATTAATAACATTTTTTTTATCAAATCAATAGGTTTTCAATAGGTATTTTACAGCATTATTTTATCTTTCCTGAATAAGTTCAATAATGTAAGACTGCTAAATTAGGAATTTTTGATTGTTTATAGCGTATATATAAAACATATCTAATTTTGTAGAAATTTTTGTTGCAAATAAAAATTACGATCTAATTCTATCACCACTTTTTGAAAAAGTGTATATTATATACTCTCATAAATAATGAAAACTAAAATCAACTTAACCTTGATACCTATAACATTTTGGCAAAGAGTTAAGGTGATTTTATATGTAGTTTTCATGAAACAGGAATGTAATTTTATGTTTTAAGAAAGTGCTCATAGAAAATTAAATTATGGATTTAATTTGCAATAACATTTCATTAAAATCAGCTAAATATTATATATTAAATAGCATAATTAGTAACCTTACTATATATTTGTAATCGTGATCCAAGAAGTACGTAATATTACCTTAATATCAGTGATATTACATTACAAGTTTTCTAATATTATATTTGACGCTCCGTGAAAAAAGTTATAGCTAAGCTCCCAAAATTTTTAGGTTATGTTTTTGATTTTTGAAGTGAAAATACATAAAGGGGTCAACACTTTATACCAAATTATTGATGTTTAAGTTTTTATTACATCTAAAATATTCAATAAAATTTATTTTTGATTTTGCCTAATTAAAATAGAACTTTTTATTGAGGTAAAACTATCACTAAATATATCTTAAAAATTATGGGAGCTTAAGTATCTTTTGTCGCGAAGCGTCACCTATATACAGTGAGAGTAATATATTACCTAAATATTTCACCTTAATATTACCACGTAATATTTCTTGAATATTACCATGTAATACTACCTCAATATTACCTTTAGGTGAACATTCTAATATTTCCCCACAGCACCGAAACTTTCCTAAAGATTTCCTAAAGATTTGTTTGAAATGTTCGAAATATTTAATTGCAATGTTTAGTTAAAATTGTGTAAAGATTTAAATGTCCCGATTAAATAAATATTTAGTGTTAAACTATCCTGAACATTTATTCAAGTGGGACATTTAAATCTTTACACAATTTTTAATAAACATTGCAATTAAATATTCCGAACATTTCAAATAAATCTTTAGGAAATTTTTAGGAAAGTTTTGGTGCTGTGGGGCTTTACAGAATTTCTTTTTATTTATTTTCTTTTTTCCATTTTCTATAGTAGTCATTATTTTGTTAATTAGTAATCGAGCAGTTTGCTAAACCGTCCTTCAAAGTTTTCCTCTAAACCTGGTCATCCTATGTTCTAAAACTATTGAAGTTCAAATGCAAAATGGATGACGTGTCACACTGGACTGCATTATACTCAATACTTCCTGTGTGATATATAGCTATATACAATACAGGGTTCGTATATAAAGAATTATGTAACTATTCATCTTTGTACTCTTTTACAATTTTTGTTATAAGAAATATTGAGAAACGAAATTTTTAAAAAATATTTTATGAAGTCGATTTATGACATTAAAATAATCGATTCTTTTTAACATAACTTTTTTGCCGTTATGTATCGAAATGGACGATTTTTTTTTGATAACCCATCCCTATTCGGTTGTATGCATGTGTATAAATTCACACATACGCAGGA